GGGAAAAAAAAAGTTTTTAAAAAAAAGAAAGAGCTACAAACATGAACTTCTCCCGACAAAAAAATCGCACAGATGCAGGTCTGAAGCCCAAAGAAAAAACCCCGATACGAGTAACAACTAACTAACAAAAGAGCTCAATACAACCGTAGAGCAGACCTAGATACACCTAGTGAGCCAGACAAACCTACCTGACGATCCGTTTAGGTGAAACCTAGGTAGGTTTGTTGGTTTCTCACTAACTAGGTGTATCTATATATATATATATATATATATATATATATATATATATATATATATATATATATACGATTTGTTCAAACATGTTTTAGGACAAACATTGCAAAATTGAATATAATCTAGTTTAAATTTAAGCCATAGTGTTACAATAGTAAACTCAGTAAACAACTTTTCTGCTTTTTCCCTATAGCCTAAGTGTTGGCTATCAAATTTTCTTTCAGTTTTGGGTATGACGATAAATTACATCCGGGTCTCGGATAAGACGTTGAACTACATCCGACAGCAAGGCTTCTGATCAGGAGGTTTTAAGAAGCATGGAACCACCTCTTAATTGCTGGTGTTCCTAGGTCTATCCTGACCCGGGGTGGTAGCTCCCGTTAGTGTCCCAGCTACGGGCAAATAGTAAAAATCAACTATCAATGTGTAAAGAAAGCTTTTAATATCAGCAATGTATTTTTGGAAAAAAATTGTTAAATAGCAATACGTTTTGGAAAAAAAATACCAGCAATATATTTTTGAAGGAATAAATTATTACCAACAATACATCATTACGAACAATACATTTTGAAGATATATATACACTCCTGATCAAAAATTTAACACCACTTGAAATTTTTTTTGAAAAGACTGTTTCTCATCGAAAAATTTTAAATATTTCTTACTTCAGGTTACTAATTTTATAATGTAAAACGTTATGTAGACAAAAAGTTATAATCCGAACATTTTATTGAGAAATTGACATTTTTATAAAATGAGGCGTTTTATACTTGATCAAAATTATAAGACCAGAGACAAAAATTCTACAAAATTCTACGAAAATTCTACGAAAACATTCAACAACCAAAATGAGTTCTACCTCCACTGGTTTTGATGACTTCAAAAATTCTTTGGAGCATGCTAGAAATTAGTGTTTCCATTAAGCTGCGAGGAATATTGCTGCAGCTTCTGAAGATAGCTTCACGAAGTTCATTTTTTGCTGAATATTGTTTGCCATTTCGATAAACATCTTTTTCCATCCACCATCTTCGTCATCATCCTCATTATCTTCGAGTGCGCTTTCTCACTTTTCGTCCTCTGTATAAAGGACTTCCCAGATATTTAAATTGTCTTACTTATTTGATTTTAGTTTCCCCAATTTGTAACTTGCATTTTGGGCTGTCCCTTTTGCTAACACCTATGCATTGTCTTTTCCAATTCACGTTTAGTCCTTTCTTCTCGCTTTCCTTCACTACCTTCTATAGAACTTCGTATAGTTTCCTTCCTGTGTCTGTTATTAGCACTGTGTTATCTACATATCTTATGCTGTTAAGATTGTGATGGCCAGTAATAAATCCTGGTAGTACCTTTTTAATTCGCTCAGAATCGCCTTACTATATAAGTTGAATACATCCGGTGAGAAGACACCTCCTTGTCTTACGCCCCTTTCTATTTTTGTATATTTACTGAATTTATTTTTTTTCTATCCGTATGCAGACAGTATATGTTCTGGATTATTCTAATATCATTACATACCGTTATTTACATTATTCGGGCTGTTATCCTCATTTTCATTGTCATATTCACAACGTTTCGGCCGTTGTATGCTCGGGTCTTCTTCAGGTAACTTGAATTTTTAACCGAGCCATTTATTTCGTCCACCGGCGTAGAATTTTCCAGTTCTACGTGCCATGCCTCCCCCGGGTGTCTCAGTTATTACACTTTAATTCAACTCTCCAAGTTTTGATTCACTACTGATGTAGACTGGTATTGAACTCACAAGACTTTGGGTTTAGTCACTGGATCTATACCAAGCTTTTAGCCACTCCCATACGTCCAATCACTTGAAGAAAGCCGGAGCGTACAACAACCGAAAAGTTGGGAATATGGCAGTTAAGATGAGGATAACAGTCCGAATAATGGAAATAATTTAATCATGATACCTCATCTCAGAGATATACACAAATATTCTAATATCGTTTCCAAAAAATGCCCTGGTTACCTATTAATCCGCATTATATTATTTTATTCAAGTATGGACGTTATTTAATTTTGTATAATTATATTCAAAGAATAATTCAAAAATACGCTTTAAGTAAGTGATGTCAGTGATGTAATTTGACTTGCCTCAACAGGGAGTTACGGGTCTTTCAGCATCATACACCCCATCACCAAGTCGACCCAATCAGCGGAGATCAATCCCTGATTCCCCCTCACATTCAAACGCTAACAGCTACTGTGGCCTTTTAAAAGAATTAGACGAAGAAAGACCACGTTTTCCGCGCACCCGATTGGAGGTTTGTAACAACCAATCCGCTGCGTGGACTATCCTTTTAATGGTCTATAGGGGGGGACTAGCTTCTTTTCTTTCTTTTTAGTTGGATATTAGTTTCAATCGATAACCGAGAATGTAATCTAACATTCCTAAATTTAACCCTTTTTTGAGGGTTGGACGGACCCTACTAACACCAGTTATGTTTAGTTTTACTTTGTGTTCATATTTAGTTTGTTTGGGGGTTCATTCCCTCCCCCCTCATTCTTCATCGTTAGATTTTTATATATAATTATTATCATTAAATTTTTATGACATGGGGCGCGTTTTGTATGTTCCCCTTGAGAGCATGCAGTATTATGGTGTATGGAGGATTGATTGGTGACGGACGAGTTTTTGTAGTGAATGGGCAAATTGTAATGAGTGAATGGGTCGTGAATCGGATTAGCTAAGTATAAGATTGACCAGCCTCAACCACTCCCCTTTTTCGGCCTTGTGCCGTAATTGTATTTTATATACAATAAATAACAATTTGACCCTTTTTTCCAGAAGTATGGTTTGATGTCTTACTCTAAATATCTGCCATTTTGATTTTATTTATACTTAGGGTGTGGGGGCTTTAACTCAGACCTACTATCACATTTTTATCGTTTAGCCTGATTCTTAACATTATTATTATAGGTCAGTTAACTTTTAAATAGATCTATTCACAAAATGAAAATACTTGTCCATAAATATGCCGTATGTTTTGCCTGTACACAAAAAATAAATAAATAAATAAAACAGCATAATATTCCTTCAAATTGATTTAAAACTTTATTTACAAATTTGTGGTCGGTTAACATACAATAACCTACGTAATACTCTTGAAATAAATTAAACTACGAGAGAAGGGCGATCTGCCTTACAATAGATTCCTATATTCTTTAAAATAGAATAATATTAGAAAGTAAAAAGCGAAGCTTCTTTATATATATATATATATATATATATATATATATATATATCTTAAAACCGATGACATAAATAAACTGATAAAATAAAATAAAGAAAAACAATATACAAACGATATATAGCGATGATTGAGAGAAAAAAAAACTCTTTAAATACATTATGTACATGTTATGATGCCGATTAAAATATACAAAATGCGTAATATTCGTGTAAATTAGTTCAAAAAATGAAGAGAATAGAAGACAAAAAGCCTTACGAGATGTGTCGCACCGAAACCGCTAAAAGGTAAATAGTAATAAAAAAAAAAATTCCGCGTATAAAATTGGGTTTAACATAAAAATACACATTTACAACACAGTTTACAAATTGATATGAAATATCCGATGACTGTACTTGTGCCAATCAAGTCGTGTATTTAAACCCTGATTACCTACTAATCCGCATTATATTATTTTATTCAAGTCTAGACGTTATTTAATTTTGTATAAGTAAAAATGTGTTCAGCCATTCATTTGGTGGGGAGAATAAAGGTGATGACAACTGTCCGAACAATGTAAGTAGTGTAGTTACAATACCTCATCTCAGAAATATTGACAGATGCTAAAAACATAATGTCTTCTTTTTCACTTTTATCCGAGTCATCGAACAGGTAGAAAAATGATGAGTAAGTATAAGAATTTTTTTTTTTTACATTTTCATAAATGAAATAGAAATAATGCGATGTTACTGGGCGTAGAGGTGAGGTTTCTGCTATTCTGCACCAAAGAATTTGATCAGCTTTGCGATACGTTTCACTAGGTTACACACACTCAAAAATACACTCACACAAAGTTAAATTCTACAAATAATACGTCTGTAGAGGAAATACAGCAAAGCGTAAACTTCATATGGGCATTTCCTGACTATCTGCCCCATACTTTTCGCACGTAAGGCTAAAAAAAAAAATCACACGCCAAACAATGTCGATTCGCAATGGTTGAATAAATCCAAAACAATGAACCTCAAGTCAAAACGAGGCTGTTCCGCGTGACTTTTTAAAAAAATGGCTGTCACTTGATATGTTTCTTTTTTTTTTTTTTTTTTTTTTTTTTTTACTTAAAGACTGAAAGCAATAACTAGCATTACTTTTAGCATGTATATATGTTTTGTGTAGAAACGTGAATATTTACAAGCAGGTTGAGCTTAGACGTAAGAGAACAGAACTTGATAGTTTGGGGCCTCAAGTTTACAATATTGTTTCATTTAAATGTCTGAGTGAAATGTCATTAAATACGAGCACTAAACGGATAGCAGTTGTATTTTATGACTCTACTAAAACGAAGTAAAAAATTATACATGTTTAAGTGTATTGTGGGGCTTAGCAATTGTACTTGGTGTTCGGAGCATTAAGTACTTCCGTCTAATGCTATAAAAGCGTTCAATAGAATCAGAATATTCTATTTTAGTGCAATGGAGAGGTGTTGCTTCACAATTAGAATTCCCACAGACAAGGCAGGAGATTGGTGTTATGTTCTGTCAGAAAAATTGATACGGTTAGTTCTAACATCGAAAAGTAGAATGTATGTATCGTCCAAGCGTTAATTTGCACCTTTTTCTTTTTAAAGATTTTTTTTTTTTTTTTTTTACCTTTTTCTCTCTTTCTCACTCCCCGACGTTTTTCTTCTACCTTTTCTTAATTTTTCGCTCGTCGATTATATTTTTATTATTTCTTTCCTCTCTCTCTCTCTCTCTCTCTTGTTTTTCTTTTACCTTTTTTTTTCTCTCTCTCTCTCTCTCTCTCTCTTTCTCTCTCTTGTTTTTCTTTTACCTTTTTAGTCGGCTGCGTTTTTATTATTTCTTTCAAATGTCTTCTTTCTTTTCTTACTCTCCCTTTCCCATTTTTCTCCCTTTTCTCCATTTTTACATCATCGATAACATATTTTATTATTTCTTTTTTCTTTTTTCTCTCTCTCTCTCTCTCTCTCTCTCTCTCTCTTTTCTTTCTTTTCTTCATTTTTGGTCACCGGCGATATATTTTATTATTCATTTCCTTTCTTTTTATTCTGACTCTTTCTTTCTCGTCTTTCTCTTTCCTTTCTTTCTTTCCTGACACCCTCTCATCTTTCTCTTTCCTTTCTTTCTTTTCTGGCACCCTCTCGTCTTTCTCTTTCATTTCTTTCTTCCCTCACTCCCTTTTGTCTTTCTTTTTTCCTAACTCCCTCTTGTCTTTCTCTTTTCTTTCTTTCTTTCTTTTCTAACTTTTTCTCGTCTTTCTCTTTCCTTTCTTTCTTTCCTGACACCCTCTCGTCTTTCTCTTTCCTTTCTTTCTTTCTTCTTTCCTGACTTCCTCTCGTCTTTCTCTTTTTTTTCTTTCTTTCCTGACACCCTCTCGTCTTTCTCTTTTTTTCTTTCTTCCCTCACTCCCTTTTGTCTTTCTCTTTTTTCCTATCTCCCTCTCGTCTTTTCCTTTTCTTTTTTCTTTCTTTCTTTCTTTTCTGACACCCTCTCGTCTTTCTCTTTCATTTCTTTCTTCCCTCACTCCCTTTTGTCTTTCTCTTTGATTTCTTTTTTCCTAAATCCCTCTCGTCTTTCTCTTTTCTTTCTTTCTTTCTTTCTTTCTTGCTTTCCTGACTTCCTCACGTCTTTCTCTTTCCTTTCTTTCTTTCCTGACTTACTCACGTCCCTCTCTTTCAATTTCTTTCTTTTCTGACACCCTCTCGTCTTTCTCTTTCATTTCCTTCTTCCCTCACTCCCTTTTGTCTTTCTCTTTTTTCCTAACTCCCTATCGTCTTTCTCTGTTCTTTCTTTCTCTCTTTCTTTCCTGACTTCCTCACGTCTTTCTCTTTCATTTCTTTCTTTTCTCACTCATCGTTTCCCTGTTTGAAAAGTCCTCTTCCTCTTTCTTCCTTTTCTAACGTATTGCATTTTCTCCTTTCTTTCTCTTCAACTCTTTATTCTTCTTTGTTACTTTCTTTTCTTCTTCTCGCCATCCTTTTTGTTCAATATACTAAGACTGTCACGGCTGAAGGGAATTTCATTAGAATTCCTCCAAGACATAGTTGGACAGTCAAGCGTGAATAAAAGACTCCTTCCTGGTTGCTTTCATTGCTGGAGACATTTACTTATTTATTTATATCATATTTTAATGCGACCGGCCAGCGGTTGTCTTACCTAAGATGACAAAATGGCGGAAACGACTTTTTATGTCCCAGTTCGCTTGGCCAGTCACCATTGCTTGTTTATCATTCGGCGGGAAAAACTGAGAATTGTCTAGGACTTTCTTTGGGGATTATTATCTTAGATTCAATGTATTTCTCGCTGTTTACATTATTTTTGACGCTTGCTCTCTCTTTTTTAACACAGATATTTTCGTTTAGTTTCATACGAGTATTGTGTGTCTGCGTGTGTCTGTGGACGTGTTTCTGTCTTTCAATACATCAATAGGAGAAAAGTGAAAAGCCAGTCGGAAAATAAACCTGACAGATTATTACAACTCCGAACGCTAGAACAAAGCATACTTTTTTTGTTTATTTCCACTCACCAAACAACGTTAGAAGCAACGCCAGAAAGCAATAACCACAACGAACATAATAACTATTCAAAGAATTATAAATACTCGTGAAAAAAAATTATAAGAACCGGAAAACTGAGAAATAATAAAATCCCTGTAACCTTTGGAATTCTTAAAATCAGCAAGAATATTAATGAGTCTACTTATAATGAAAGGCTTTATTCTCAATGAGGCTCCATTCTTCGAACATCTATTGGGTTTCAAGTTAACTACAAAACCCCAATAGAAACTCATATATAATACCTACTAGCAGGCTTCGCCCGCTCGCCATCGCTTCGCAAAATAAGATATATTCACTACTTGAAATATTTGAAACAATAATTTCACTCATAATTTGGGTTGGTATAATAAGGGAAAGTTTTACAAATAGATGCCAACTTGTTGAAGGCCAAGTAAAATTCAAATTTCAAACACTTTTCTGCACTATACATGAAGATATTCCTAAACAGAATTATTTTTTTATATGAAAATCAATAAAATCCTTGAATAAAAGAACACTAATGAAGTAGAGTTAATTAATGAAATATCCTTTTTTTTTAAATCAATATACAAATTATTAAACCTTAAGACTGATATTACCTAGAAGTACATAATATATAATACAGATATTGAGCTTTTAGCGTATCGCAGCGAGACCAGCCTGACCAGCAGTTGAGGGGACTAGGAGAATTTTTGTTCCTAGCCCAAGGGCACCCGCTCAGGCTCACCACATTAAACCGATCTTGTGTCACAACGCGACTTTGTGGGGAATAGAATAAATACCAAAATTTCTATGAAGTAGATTTGGGACTTTTTAAGCCCATAATTCGCTGGATAATTATGCTGCAATTTAGCATTTATTCATATGGATTCCATAATATAGGTTTACTTAATTAGCTATTATGTTTCTGTAACTTTTGAAATGTTGAATGTGTAACTAATTCTAATTTCTATTTTCCTATCTTTACACTATTTGAATTTTTTCTTATAAATTACGTCCTGTTCTGTCACCCTTGAAATAAAAATAATTGTTTGTACGGAAAATAAGGATCTACGTACATCAAATCTTCTTTAAATTAAGTGGCATCAGAATTGTCGTTGAACTTTTAAAAGGTAAGTTTAAACTTAAATAATTCAATACTTAAATGCAGTGATCAATTTTGAGTTTTTCTGTAGTTTATTGATGACTATCGCATTTACTCCTCGCTACCTATTGTCAGGATGGCCAAACCAAAAGTTCTCCACAGGAGCTAGCTTAAATGCCGCCCCATAGAGCGGCTTTTAACCTAGCTTAAAATTTTATGCTAGTTGCAATTTTTAATACTATATATAATAAGAGTTACCCTTTGAACCATGAAAGCAACGATAATGGCTATTATAATATGTCAATATATATATTTATCCTTGCATAATCTGGCAACCCTGAATCTGACAAGTATAAAGACACACCACCCGTGAGTCAATGATCGGGACGAAGGGTTCTCCCAATGGAATCAACGACCACACATCCGTGACCAATGTGAGCATTCAGTTTGGAGCACACCGGTTGTGGTTTGACCTCGACAGGAATAGGCTCGGTGAGATCTACCGCGAAAGACACGCTACGCATGAATTAACATCAGCCCGATTTACAACCCATATCTGTTGTAGAAAGTGATCAAGTTCTCATCTGCGCTGCGTCCCTACGACCACACTTTGTCATCAGACTAATGATAATTTGAATGATGATCAAGCAAAAGTGTTAGTTTTCCAATCTTCCTCTATTCCTTTTCTCTTACGTTTGGAAGGTAGTTGCTTTTTGATTTTTTTCTAAAAGTTATCAAACGAGAAACTTTTAACTGAAACCGCAGAATTGTCGGCTAAGAGAATTCTTTGTTTATTTATTTTATTTATTTTTTTTATTTATTTTTTATTTTTTTTTTTCGCTTTTCATTGTTCTAACCTAATTCACCTGCTGCGATATTTCTCAAGTTGTCGCTGGTTGGAGCAGTCAGATATATATAGCCGTACTGTTATCTCATTTCAGGGGATTAGCTTGGATTTTGTTCGGTTTAAAGATGTCAAGATATATTTCCCGAAAATGTCAGGTAGTAAAGATCACCAACGTTTGTGGAACATTTTTTATCGGCAGAAATGTCTAATGATATAAATTTCTTGATCGCGTGAACCTAGTGATACGTACTGAGGCTGGTAAGATTAAGCAAAAGTTTCCGTGTATACACACATAATATATATATATATATATATATATATATATATATATATATATATATATATGGATAAAGTCCGACAATTATTTTAAGACATTTTATGTTCATACATTCTTTTTATAGATGAAAATATTTAAGGAAATTCTCTGTTTATAATAAACAGTATTAAACAACATTTACCGGCCTATAAAAAAAGAATGTATAAAAGTAAAGATGTCTTAAAATAATTGTCGGACTTTGTCCATTTCATAATGTGTGACGACATTTGTTTACATTTGGATACGCATCGAGCAGATATGAACATACGTGAGAAAATCATGAAGAATTGTGGATTACAAACAGTAAAATCGACCTTGCTAACCGAAACGCTCCTCTGTGGCGTAATCGGTAACAGCACGTCAGGCTATATGACGGTTCCTTATAGGATACAGGTTCGATTCCTGTCGGAGGACGCATATTTTCTATGACAATGTCGCAGATATTCAGGTCGGTAAATGTTGTTAATACTGTTTATTATAAACAAACATAAATATTTGTATCTATAAAAGAATGTATCAACATAAAATTTACACACATATATATATATATATATATATATATAATATATATATATATATATATGAAGATATGTCTCATTAAATAATTTAGACGAGTTGTGTCTACTTATTTTTAATACGATCCTCTCGTAATTACGAACAAGTTTCTTAGTATCCTTATTAAAGGAAGAAAAATAATTACCATATTGATTCATATTCATTTTATTCCGAGTATTTTCGACATTAGCTCAATCATACCAAGCGGCTTAAAAACGCTACTACTGACCTTGCAGTTATACAAAGCCTTAATTTTTTTCAATTTCTCAATCCCTAACCCAAATAGTTGAATTCCCCACACGTTTTTTCTACAACCTGGACAGTAAGGCTTCTCTTCTTGATCTATGTTTTACCTCCATCCCCGAGTCCTGTAGCGCCACGCAGCTCTGCCCTCTTGGCAACTCCGATCATTATGTAGTGTCCTTCAACTCCACCCCCTGCAAAGAACCTCTTTCCATTAGAACATCGTTCTATCAACGAGCAGACTGGGACTCATTCCGGGATTTCATTCACGACGTACACTGGAACGTTGTCTTCACGCTCCCCGTTCAAGAATGTGCTTCCGAGGTCTCGTCCTGGGTTAATGCTGGAATCGAGGCTTTCATCCCCTCAAGGAAATATAAGGTCAAATCGCTCCTCACCCTGGTTCTCCGCTGCTTGCTCAACTGCCATTGCCCATAGGAATCACTTCTTCCACCTATACCGTAACGACATGTCTGATTGCAATAGACGTCTCTTTCTCTCTGCCCGTAACGAGTGTAAGCGTGTCCTCAATGAAGCAAAGTCTCTGTATGCAGCTCGAATGAAAGAACGTATTGCATCTCGCAAATTCGGCTCCAAGGATTATTGGCGTCTCTGCAAGAGCGTACTTAATAGCAAACCCTCTACACCTCCTTTGTTCAACC